GGCTTCTCTGCAAGCGAGAGCTCAAATTGTGAATGTTGGGGCGATACGGGCTTGGCAGGTTGGGAGGCCTCCGACCTGCCCACAGGCTGGGAGGCGGGGGTGGCTGGCCTCTCCTTCCTACCATGGGAAGAGGCTTGGCTCTTGGCGGGATCCTGGGCTTGGGAGGCCTCTCCCCGGCGAGGTCGCTCGCTCTGGCGGGAGGGCTTGGTCTGCTTCGTGGCCGGGTGTCGAGGGGGAAGCGGCGGCTGGGCCTGAGGCAAGGAGGGAAACTACTGCTGGTACTAGTACTGGGAGACCTGATGCAGCACTTGTTGTTGATAGAGTTGGAACTGGTGAAATTGTTGCATTTGAGCTTGCATGGCTCGCATGCATTGCGTTAAGTCTTCCAACTGGTTCGGGTTGGCCACTAGGGGCACAACCGAAGGTTCAGCAAAGGTTGCTCCAACTGTGGAAGGGAGTGGAGCAATCGCGGGTGCCACTGTGAGAGGCATGTTCAAACTGGGAACTCCATCCATGGAGAGGAGGACGGTGAACTGTCCAATACAGACAGTGGGAAGTTGGGGTTGCTTCCCAGAAAGCGTTCTGGCTGGCACCACATCTGGCATTGCTGGAGGAGGCCATGAATGCTGAGTTTTCTAAAGGAAACTGTAGAAGCTTAGAGGAAGGCTTTTTGAAGCGATTCCCACAGATGGAGCCAAATGATGCTGCACAATCCGGGCACTCCTAGCTGGCTGCTGACTGGTTCCTATCTGGCAACGGACGGCACCTGAGAAGAAGACGGTGAAGAATTCCCGGGGGACTTGCCTGGTGGGAATACTCTGATGCTTAAGTTAGAACGCTGAAAAAAAAAAGTGAAGAGTGTAAGGAAGGCTAAGAGTGTAGGTCGCACTAGATCACTGAGTTAGCTCAAGAGAAAGTTCGAGTAAGTTCAAGATAAGATCTCAGATGTTCGAGAGAGCCCTTCCCTTCAACTAGGGGGCTCTTATATAGGCATTCTTGTCAAATTGGGCGTTACCGCCACTGGTCATAAAAACCGTAGCTAAAACAGTGGATATAGCCACGGGCAACTTCACGTCCGTGGCAAAAAAGGTGAGCTTTAGCTACGGACAGATTTTCCATGGTTATAATCCATTTGTCTGTAGCTAAAAGATGTTTATAGCCACGGTTTTAAGATGTCCGATGCTATAAGTTACAAAAGTAGAAGTTGACTTATAGCTACGGTCATTTTGTCCGTGGTTAAAAGTAACAGCTACGGAATTTTAGTTATCTATGGCTATAACTACACAATCAATAATCTTTATTTGCTACATTTAGATATTTAGTATAATGCATTGAAAATTAATAAATAATAATCATATATTATTAATTTAAAATATTTATTGTTTATTTATTACTATTTCTAGTAAATTAATAATTATTTATTTATCAAAGTAAATAAATATAATTAATAACTAACAAATTATTAGCTCATTAATATTGAATTACAATAATAATTAACTAGCAAAGGACCCAGCTTCGTAGGGGTTGGAATGGAACCGTCAACCCGTTGACCTGGCCTCTGGCCAAAAATCGTTGAATCGGTCAATGATCCATTGATCCAAATGGTCGAGCCATTAACCCATTGACCTGTAAAATGGCTTTTGGCCATTTGTCGGACAAAGGTAATGATTGGGGATGCACTCTCTCTGATGGAAACCAAGACTACCGGCAGCCGATTTCAATTTGTTTTGCAAAATATATTTATATATAAAGATATATATATGTTATGGTTTCGAAATGGTTTGCAAAAGGTTTTAGTTCCCGGGATCCATGTAAGCGGAGAGTGCAACACTGTCCCTTGCAGTTGAGGGAGAGGTCTTCCCTTGTCGGGCAGTGTTTGATCATTATGGGCTGAGAGGTTAAGTGTAAGACCATTGAAGATAATACCTGATAGGCTAATCTTGCATCTGCCTAGAGTCCCTGGGTGTTACAAGGTGGCTTGGCCCATGGATCACTTAGGGTAAGTGTTGGGCCCATAGAGCCCATAAGATGGGTTTCAGGGGGTGCACTGTCCATAACARTGTATTCGGCCAGGCCTTGTAACAAAGGCTGGGCTGAACCCATGTGGCTGATGTGTAGATCAATGTTTGGGTCCCACGCCATACAAGGAAGCCCAACTGGGTAGCAGTTTGGAAGGCTAAGTGAGTACATAACTTTTAATGGGCCTTAAGCCCATTTCGAACTGGGCTGATTCGATCAGTCAATTAAAAAGGGGCGAATTCTAATATGGATCAGCTGATAGGATTGGGCCTAGACCCTATCCACTTAGAGAGTCCAAGATCTAAATGAGATTTAGATCTAGAAGCCTCCTAATTAGATTAGGAGATGGCTGATCTGATCTGCAGATAAGATAAGGGTTATCCCTTAACACTTAAAGGGACTTTCTAGTCCAAATACGATTTGGATTAGCAACTCCTAATGGGATTAGGAGCTGATCCTTTTAAGATTATGAAAGAAAGAAAGGGGCGATACAGTTAGTGATTGATGTTCAATTCTCTTCAGAGCTGAAAATCACAAGAAGAGAGATTTCTGCACCCTGCGAATTCTCTCTTGCTGCCTCCTTCCTACCGCCGCCATCACCTTCAGTTCGATCTCCAGCTCTTGGGAGAAATCAATATCTGATCTTGATTCCAATCTTTTGAGAAAAGATTGGTTGGAGCTGTACTCACCAGCCATCCAGTTGATTCTTGCGAAGGGTCAAGTTCTTTTGGAAGAACATTGTTGATTTTGCTCCATCCTGCACTGCACCATCTTCAGTGGGAGCAGATTTTGGATCCTTCCTTGGGCGTGAACACCTCCATTGGGAGATATTGTTTCTCTGTATCAAGTACATCCTCCCTCCTACTCCTTTTGGTTCAGATCTAATTTGCTTCATGGTTCAAGATTGATCCTTGAAAATTTGTTTTCTAAAATAGGGAATTCGTTTCCCTACGAAGATGGGAGAATTTTTTTTTGAAATTCGCCCAATCCATTCCACAAGACTTGGGCGTCCATGTGATGGATATCCCATCCCTACACCGTTTTCAAGTCGTATGAGTCACATGCTCAAATGACATAACACGTATGTAACTGCTTAATGGACCTCACACACTCAATTTTTTTCTTGTAATTTTTGTTGTCAGAACAGGTCGCCCATTTTTTTTTTAATTGGGAAGTCCAGGCAACCAGTTCCATTTTACCACAATCCCGGTCCTTGAGCAAAAACCGTTGAATCAGTCAATGACTCATTGACCCGAGTGGTCGAATCATCAACTCGTTGACCTATTCAATGGTTTTTTACCATTTTTTTATTTTTTTATTTTTTTATTTTTTGTTGTCAGAACGGACCGTCCGTTCGGACTAGATGGTTGAACCATTGACCCAAAAACCGGTGACCAAAACAATTCCATTTTTGGGTCATATGAATCACACACACGAATGACATAACATCGTGGTTTTTAAAACCTACTCGGAGACCGAACCGGTTAAGGTCCGGTTACTGGGTCGAATGGTTTAATAAAATAAATATTTTTTTTTATTTTATTATATTAATTTATTTAATTATTCTATATATAAGCAATTGTATACACAAAATTCCATGTTTTTCAAAACTGGACCGGACTGGACGGTTGGACCAAAAAAAATGGGAACCGGTTAGGTGACTGGTTCCGGTTTTCCCCAAAACCAAATTTTCCATAAAAACCGTTGATTTTGGTAAGCAAACCGTTGACCTGAGCAGTTAACCGTTCGAACTGTTTGAACGGTTTTTTTTATTTTTTTTGTTAGAACGGGCCGACCCTTCGACCTAGTAACTGGACCCCTGACCAGTTCGGTCTCCGGGTCGGTTTTAAAAACCATGTAAAATTCATATAAAATTAAAATTTTAAGTTTTGTATCAATTCTTTTTTAAGTAAATAGCTTTGGCCCGATGCTCGGCCCGACCTGTCCCAATGCTCGGCCCACAGGCTAGCCCGGCCCGCATAGGCTTGAGCCACAGGCCGTACTGGGTCAGCCCCCAAATTTTTCCCCAAGGAGGATGGCACGGCCTATAACAGCCCGCACTTTGTGTGGGCCGCTTGTGGTCCGTGCCCGACAACACCTTACATCTCTAAATAGTTATATATAAAATATAGATAAGTAATTATTAATTATTAGTAAATTAAAAATAAGTATTTATTTAATAAATTAAAACTTCATTAATTATTAAATACTTTTTATAAGTAATTGATAAAGTAATACTTATTTAATAACTTATTTCAACCATTTTACAAAAAAAAAACCATTTTTTGCCTCTAGAAGTAATTTTTAAGTTTTTTTATTTATAAAAAGATGAAAAACTAAAATAAAATATAATTAATATATTTAATTAGGACCGGCCAGACCCGATTCATTAGCATCCCCGATAGAAACCCTATATTTAGCAAAATTTTCCCACTCGAAGCCCCTTCGAATTTCTTCCCTCCCCTTCTTTCTCACGCTATCAAAATGGAATAGCCTATCAGAACCAAATAGCCTGCAACACCTTTTCACTCACGATCCCTAGTATTTCTCTACCTCCCCTTCTCTCTCGCGGTCTCTATCTCTCTCTATTCGGCGATGTCTCTACCTCTCAATCTCTCAGTCTAACGTGTCCAGGGGCATTCCATCTCAACCTCTCAATCTACAATTGAGTTTCTCCTTATTGTGAAGCAAACAAAAGGGCCAATCCATCGCAAAATGAGTTGTGGTAAGATGATGACAGCCGCAAATCATTTAAGGTTTCGTTTTCGCTATCTCTAAATTTATCAGTTGCCTTTGAAGCAATTTTGATATTTAAAAATGAAAGGAACAATTTGTAGTTTATTCAATATACATGGGAATTTATACAAGGTAAATAACGAAATTACAGCTGGCTAGGAGCTAAGAGGGGAGAATGCATCTGGCAAGCTTCCAGCTATTTAACCGATACTTTGTTTAACTGACATATGCGATAATACGCCCCCTCAAGTTGAAGCATGAAGGGACTGGATGCCCAACTTGTGTATGAGGAAATGAAATTGATCAGTGCCAAGTGCCTTTCTAAACAAATCAGCAGGCTGTTGTGTGCTTCGCAAATGAGAAGTGTGAAAAGTGTTGTTGATGATTTGCTCATGAACAAAATGACAGTCTAGCTCAATGTGTTTGGTACGTTCATGAAATACCGGATTGGTCGCAATATGTAGAGCAAATTGACTGTCACAACAAAGTTCGATGGGCTGATCAAATGGAACTGTAAGTTCTTGTAAGATGCGCTTTAACCATATTAACTCGGCTATTGTGGATGCCATAGCTCGGTATTCAGCCTCAGCTGAAGAACGGGAGACTATATGTTGTTTCTTGGTTTTCCAGGATATGGCCGGTGTACCAAGCATGGTAATGTAACCTGTGGTGGAGCGTCGAGCGATAAGACAGCTTGCCCAGTCCGAATCACTATATCCAGTAAGGCATAGATCATTGGTAGATGAGAAAAAGAGCCCTAGGTTGGCAGTGGCCCGAAGATAGCGAACAATTTTCATGGCAGCATCCATGTGTTCTTGTCTTGGCTGATGCATGAACTGACTTAGGATGTTCACTGAATAGCATAAATCTAGCCGTGTGACTATAAGATACACTAGGCGGCCAACCAAGCGTCGATATTGAGATGGAGCTGGAAGTAATGGGCTGCCATCATCATGGAAATGTTTCTGTTGCTCCATTGGAATATGACTGGGCCAACACTCCAGCATATTAGTTTCTTGACGAATGTCATGTATGTATTTTTGTTGGCAAAGAAAAATACCCAGTTGAGTAGTGATGACTTCAATACCTAGAAAGTAAGTTAACGGGCCAAGATCTTTGAGTGGGAAGCATGACTAAAGATAGTTCTTGAGGTCTTCAATACATGATGAAGAGTCACCAGTAATAATGAGATCATCCACATACACAACTACACTAGTAAAATGCCCATCACGATGAAGAGTGAAGAGAGAATAATCATTGAGAGATTGTTGAAAACCATACTGCTTCAAAGTGATGGTGAACTTCTCAAACCACATTCGAGAGGCTAGTTTGAGCCCATATAGGGATTTATATAGTTTGTAAACTTTATTAGGTTGACCTTGTTCAAACCCTTGAGGAACAGTCATGTAAACATCTTCATGCAAATCACCATGCAAGAAGGCATTATTTACATCTACTTGATGCAAATCCCAATGTTTTGTTGTGGCAACAGCAATAAGAGCTCGTACAGTGACTAGCTTGGCTACAGGAGCATAGGTGCCGTGGTAGTCTAACCCTTCAACTTGGTTGTAACCCTTTGTGACAAGGCGAGCTTTATACCACTTAACAGAATCATCTGCTTTAAATTTGACTTTGTACACCCATTTTGAGCCAATGGCATGCTTTCCCGGGGGTAAATCCACTACACTCCAAGTATTGTTCCATACTAAGGCATATATTTCATCCACCATAGCTTGCTGCCATTTTGGGTCCTTGACAGCTTGATGGTAGATCTGGGGCTCATTGTGAGATGAAATACAAGTATAGAAGGCAGAATGTAAGGAAGTAGGTAGGGAGCAGATGTAGTCTTGAAGATGAGAGTGTGTGCGTCAGGCACGTGTTGGCCTGGGTTCAATAGGTTGATTAGTGACAGGGGCAGGATTGGAAGTGAGTGCTAGTGCTATAGAAGATTCCATGTTGGAATTAGTCTCAACTCAGATGGGGGTGAGAAACCATAGGTAGGCCATCATCAGCACTAGGTAATGGCACAACCGGAAATTGTACTTGACTATTCGGATCTGTGGTGGCGGCGAGAGGGAAGACAAATTTATGGAAGGTGACATCTCGTGAGACGAATATTTGAAGTGTGTCAAGATCATACAAACGGTAAGCCTTTTATGCAAAAGGATAACCAACAAAGATGCATCTTCGTGCCCTTGCAACAAACTTGTCATATGGTTTTCGAGCGACTCTAGCAAATCTCAAGCATCCAAAAACACGGATATGATCATATGAAGGGGCTTTGCAAAATAGACTCTCATAAGGTGTACGTCCATTCAGTGTGGATGTGGGTGTATAGTTGATGAGATAGGCAGCTGTTAGAACACGTTCACCCTAAAAACGTAAGGGCAATGATGCCAAAAACTAAAGAGCCTGTGCCACTTCTAGGATATGTCAATGCTTTCACTCAACAATTCCATTTTGTTGAGGAGTGTCAACACATGAACGCTAATGAATAATGTCATTTTTCATATAAAACTCCATCATTGGTCCAGATGTGAATTCGGACCCATTATCAGAACGGATAACCTTAACTGAGGTTCCAAATTAATTTTTGACCATAGCACAAAAATCAGTCAAAAGAGAAAATGTCTTTGATTTATTTTTCATCAAATACACCTAGGTGCATCGAGAATGGTCATCTACAATGGTTAAGAAAAAATGAGCACTAGTGATGGATGGGGTTCGGTACCCACCCCAAATGTCACAATGCAGTAAATCAAAGGGTGCAACAACCCTGAAGGTGCTGAGATGAAAGGGGAGCTGAGTGAATTTTGCTCAGTGACAAGCTTCACAGCAATTATCTTCAGCAGGGAAGCAACCAAACAATGAAGTAATTCGGTTGGAGGATGCATGTCCTAACCATCTATGCCACAACTGGTAATCAACAGTAGTGCAATTATTTATGGTAGGTGAAGTCAAAGAATCAGCATCAACTATCAACAATGGGGAGGTTGTGGATGGCATGGATTCGGAAGTATGTAGGTGATAAATTCCAATGTGCATTCTACCCACTCCAATCACTTTGTTCGAGACTAGGTCCTACAATATGCAAAAATCCGGAAGAAATATAGCACAATAGTGAAGTTGTGAGGTCAATTTGCTCACAGATAAGAGATTGCATTGAAATTGTGGGACGCACAACACTTTATCAATGGTGAGGGAAGGTGTAACAGACACTGATCCATGATGAGTAACTGGCAAGACTATACCGTCCGGTAATTTCACAGGATGAGATGATTCCAGCTGAATCAAATGATCAAGATATGGTGTCATATGTGAAGGGATGAGAGATCCATCATATGGATGGCCAAACCCTGCAGGAAAGTTGGGTGAAATTTCAAAAATTTCTCTCTCCCATGTGGTAATCACATTCCCTATTTTAGAAAACTGCATTTTCAATGATCAATCTTGAACCCAAACTAGACCAAATCTGAAACCAAAAATAGGGGTGGAGGGATATACTTGATGAGAAGTAGTAATAACCTCCAATGAAGGTGTTCACGCCCAAGGAAAGATCCAAAGACTGCTTCCACCGAAGATGACACGGTGCAAGATGAAGTAGAATCAGCAGGATGGTTCTTCAACAAGAACCAAATTCTTCAACAACAATTTGATGGAGGGCTAGTGAGCACAACTTTATATTACCTTTTCTTCCAAAAGGTAATATCAATAACTCTTCTTGATCGCTCCCACATGTGGAGATCGAACTGGTATGGCGGCAAGAGTAGGAGAAAAGGAGACAATGTAGTCAAATTGTGTTGTCTCTCTCTACAAATCAGCAGTCAGTCAAATGATTTTTGTTGTACTCTGAGGGTTCGCCCTGCTTTCCTATTTATACCCTTAAAGAGAGGTTCTCCTAATCCCATTAGGAGTTTCCTAATCCAAATCTTGTATTTGGATCTGGACTCTCTTTAAGAGATAAGGATAATCCCTTATCTTATCTACAGATAAAGATCAGCCCTCCTAATCTAATTAAGAGTTTCCTAATCCAAATCTTTATTTGGATCTAGACTCTTTGAGTGGATAGAGATAATTCCTTATCCTATCTACTGATCTAAATCCCAAAACCGCCATCTTTTAATTAATCACATTAAGCCAGTTCGAATTAGGCTTTAGGCCCATTAATTCTATGTGCTCACTAGCCCTCTTAATCTGCTGCCCAGTTGGGTATCCTTGTATGGCATGAGACCCAAACATTGATTTACACATCAGCCACACGAGTTCAGCCTAGCCTCTGTTACAAGGCCTGGCCGAATTCACTGTAGGAGACAGTGAATCCCGAAGTCCATCACCATAGGCTCTTAATGGGCCCAACATTTACACTAAATGGTCCCTAGGTCAAGCCACCTTATAAAAATCCAAGGACTATGGGCAAATGCAAGATTAGCCCATCAGGCATTACCCTCAATGATCTTACACTTAACCTTTTAGCCCATAATGATCAAACACAGCCCGACAAGAGAGGACATCTCCCTCAACTGCAAGGTACAGTGCCGACAGTTTAGGTTTTCATCAGAGAGAGTGCATCCCTGATCATTCACTTTGTCCGACAAAGGGGCTGATCCTGTCACTCTGATCACCCACTCAGATGACTTCTTGGACTGTCCCAACATACCCAGGTTTTGACCCCCTCTAAGGATCTCACTGATTGGCATATCAAAGACAGCCCAATCCGACACCTAGTGTAGTATCATAATCGAGTCTAGGGGTCAGGTGTAACATTCCAGTTTTGCTCATCTATCTCTAAGGTCCAAGGCAATACTGGAATTCTGGTCCGGTTTAGGGTTTCAAGAAAACCCACATTACATGTACCTCAGGTCTCACCCTAGCAGCTGAGACAAGCCACCCCAACTAACTTGGCGGCACATCAGTGTCAGCCTTGATAGGATAAATCTCCCCAGATTTATCCAACGGCTGTGAAGATTCTAAACTAACACGAGTCTTATATGTGTCCAGTTTAAGGGTATTACACAAAAACACACCAAAATAACATGAATCAAATATGTACTTTATTCATTTACATTAAATGTCATAATGTACATCATTCTGATTGGAGCTAAAGGTATACACCTGTATTTAGAATCCAGGATGATGCATGGGATGAAGATTCAGTGATCATACCAGCAAAGTTAGATGAACTCATAGGATTTGTTGATGGGGTTTTCTCAGGTCCAAGAATGTTGATCAGCTTCTGGTATTGTTCATATGTTAGTCCGATGATCAGAGATGCATTATCAGAAAGAGATTACTTAACTTCTTTCGTCTCAGCAGACATATGTGCTACACTCCGAGTGTCACCAGATTTCTTGGATCGTGAATTGTGCCCCTTTCCTAGTTAAAAGGGTAGCCATGAAGTCGTAACAACGATCCTTTGTGTGTCCACCTTTCTTGCAATAGTCGCATTTGAGCTTTGATCTCCATGATGATTCCCCTGATTTGTTGATTGGTTTTGTGACAACATTCAAGGCCGCTGCATCTGTTGCATGAATTGATCGCACAACAACAAGAGATTGATGCCATTCCTCTTGGACAACAAGATTGTAGGCCTTATTGATTCCAGACAACAGATCTGAACTGAGAATGTTGGTTCGAATGGTATTGAAGTTCTCGTTCAATCCCATGAGGAATTGATGAAACCGCTCTCATTCGCACTAAACTACAAACTCCTTCGCAGCACCACATGTGCATGTAGGTACCAACGACAAAACTGCGAGTCCGTCCCAGAGCCCCTTCAGCTTCATGAAGTAGGCTGCAACCGATTGTCCGGCTTGCTATAACAGAGCAATGTCCTGCTTCAGTTGATGTATGCGTGGTGCATTGATCTGAGAGAAGCAATCTTCAAGATCTTTCCAAATTTCTTGCATAGTTTCAATGTAAACAATACTTTCATGGAGATCTCTTGCTAAATAATTAAAGATCCAAGTGGAGGGATATA